CTATAATTGCACATCATATAGACTTGTATTGCATTTTGGAATAAGAATAAATAGCATTAAAATGCTATTGATAAAAGGCGAAGTGGTTGTGAAATATGTTATATATTAAAAGGTTTTGGTCACAACTGATGCCAACCATTTCAGCTATTGTTATAATATAATATTGCTACATTAAGTGTAATCAATAATCTGGTACGCAATAGAAAGTCGGGACATATTAGTCTATGACATAAGAAAGTTTGTATTGAATAGTCATAACAAAGAAACGGGTCTTGAGATATTTGAAATATACTCAAAATTATATTTTGCACTACAATAAGTATCACGCGGTAATAAAGGGGTATAGTGATGCAAATTAGATCACCGGTTCGTCTGTTTCTAAATTCACAAGTGTATATATTTTCACAGTCGGTGGATGAGCGATATTTTGGAAATCATCCAAATAAACGTGCATTTATCGCTCTACAATGGAGGTTGAGTTTATAGCCTTAGACAAGGCCGGTGAAGAAGCAGAATGGCTCCAGAATTTCTTGTGAAGATATTTCATTTTGGCCCAAATCGTTGATACCTATGTGCATACATTGCGATGCGGCAATAAGAAGGGTTGGGAGCGTTATGTATAACAAAAATCTCGTCACATACGACGAAGACATAATACCGTTAGACAACTACTCTCTAGTAGAATTATCACAATTGACTATGTAAAGTCAAAATATAATGTGTTGGATCCGCTTACAAAAGGCCTAACTAGAGAGGCGGTTGAGAAGTCATTAAAGGGAATGAGACTATGGCCAAGGACAAGTCACTATGGCAGTAACTCTACCTAGAAGACTGGAGATCCCAAGATCTAGGTTCAATGAGATCAAACAAAGTCATTAGTGTCGGTTCAACATTGTCAAATAAGACTTTGGTCCATTCTCGTGATGAAGACAATGTTCAGTATCAAGAATAAAACGTTAAGGTTTTTAATGGTTTCTAAGTTTGATACGGGGTATATCAAATAGTGTAACTGCGGGATAACACATTTAGGAAATACCTATGTAAGTGTAAAGTGTTAGTCGCTTTAAGAAGAATTTCGTAAGGCCAATTCTCTATGCACTTATGAACCAGGCGGTGTTCATGTCTGAAACGAACACAACAATGAGAACCAAAGACGGTTAAAGGGTTGATTGTGTGACCTATGAATGTCTAGGTATACACCAAAGTTCGACGGTTCAAAGATATCAAATCTACCGATTGACGGAGTAATAAGTTCACTACGGAAAGTTCAAAGGGGAACCTACTTATCCATATGCGATTAATCATTGCTTGCGAATCACTCAGTTATGCTTGTTTTTATAACTATGGCCATTCCCCATTCATGTGGGGGATTGTTGGATTTTTGCTAAAGGGTGTGAATGGAAAATTGAAGAGGCACCTTTTGAATTGCACCTCTTTATATCACCCTTTTTCTGTCTATAAACTTAGAAGCTTAGCCTCATTTTTCATACATGGAAAATCTGAAAACTTCTCCCCTCTTTTCTACATTGGTGCATTATTTTACATATAAACTAAGTATCAAGTGTGATTGTCCATTTGTTGAGTTTGCTGAAGTTCTGTTATTTCGATTGCCAGTATTACAGAATAGTTTTTCCGTTCTATCTTGGGAGAAAGTAACAGTGAGGGGATTAAATTCCTTAAGGACACACAAGCAACTTGTGGGCTCAAAAATTATTTTATGTTTTATCTAATTAAACTATCTTTTTTTTTTACTTCTTTGATTTTCTGATTTCAAACACAGGTTACCAACACTTCCTTTCTTCTAATTACGAAACGAATTAGAAAAACAAAGTATATCTTGAAGAAAGATTTAAGTAATTGGTTATATATCATTCCATTCCCTCTAAGCACATTACTTCATGTTATTTAACGAAGAGAACAAATAGAGAAAGAAAAAGAGAAACAAAACGAAACGCTAAGCAAATGAACTTATTGCTACTAAAATTGGAATATAATAATATAGTATGGTATTATCATATCTTATATCTCCTCACAACAAAATCTAGTGACTATAAATGTTTGATCTGGATATACTGTGGTTACTACTGTACGATTTATTAGTTCGCGGGAAGAGCATCTACCAATTTATTAATTCTTCAAAATCTTCTGATATCATAATTACCAAATACGTAAAACCAAAGTAATTTTTTAATAAACATTTATGTGAAACAACTTCTTTTAGCATGAATTTATTGTTCAAATAATACAAATAAAATTTCATTTTAGGGTACCCATAATATATATATATATATATAATTATATATATATATTATATAATATATATATATATAAAGTTGCATTATTTCACGTGTTTCTTTCGACCTGAATTAGCCAATGACAAAATCACAAGGAAATAAACGAGTATAACATTTGTACCGATAAAATTTGAAGTCTGAAATTATATTGGAATGTAAAAGTGATAAGGATATTTTGGTCAAATTTAGAGCATAAAAAGCCCTAGGCCTAAATTCTCTTTTTTTTTTTTTTTTTAAGGGAATGAAACCAAGAAACTATAATTAAGAGCACTCCTTAAAAGGAGATTCGGAGGAACCGAAAGGCAAATTTCTAATGTATTCAGAAATGAAAATTATTTATTCTGAAAAGTAAATTCCGTCTACTAAACACTTTCTTAATAGTACTGATTTTACTTAAATTTGTCTTTGTATAGAGTTCGAATCTAAGTAAAGATTCTCTCGTCTAACTTCTCTTTCTCTATTGCTCACGGGCCAAACCCACTAAATAATGAAAGAAAAAATAAATTTTTACGTACCTATACACTATTGGAAATTTTATTACCTTTCCCTTCTCAAGTTTCAATTTAATTACCTCCTATATACAAATTTACCAATTATATACACTTTAGGAATCAAATGAGTATCCTTTTATATTATGAATCAATTATTTCCCATCCATATTCTCTCTCCCTCATGCACTCTCTCTCTCTACGTCTCTCTATCTCTCAATCCCTAATTCCAGTAATGCAGAGCAAAGAAAAAGAGAGCAGCAATTCCACCATTGACAGCCATTAAAAGGCTTTGAAGCTTTGAATTCAAATTTGGATTTTAGAAACCTTTATTTGTTTGGAACGGGTGTTGTTGCAAATAATTGGGAATATTGTTTGGAGTTTATATCTCCATTTTGAGGGTGTTTTGGTGAAGATTAGACTTGATTTTTGCTGAATTTCATATTGAAACTCGAAGAAGAAGAAGAAGAATAAGGCATGACATACATTATACAATTGTAGTAAAGTTGTAGTAAAATTGTAGAAAAATTATATTCTGTTGTTTATATATATTTTTTTATTTAAATATTGTATGAAAGTTGAAAAATATTGTATAAAAATTATATTTAAGTTGTATGATATTGTAGTTTTATATAACTGGGTAGAAATAATGTGTGAAAATTGTGGATAAGTTATAAATAAGTTGTATAATATATAATTAGTTGTATGAATTTTATTTTTACTATGTATAAATCAGATACAAAATATACAAAAGACATATTGTATAAAATTTATGTAAAAATTATATTTAAGTGGTATGATATTGTAGTTGTATTTAACTGGGTAGAAATAATATATGAAAGTTGTAGATAAGTTGTAAATAAGTTGTATAATATATAATTATTATGTATAAATCAAATATAAAATATACAAAAGACATATTGTATAAAATTTGTATAAAAATTATATTTAAGTTGTATTTAAGACAGTGTTGCAAGTTGACAAATGCCAATAATGTTTTAAAAGATTGAATTTCAAAATTCTATCAAACTTCCTTTTTTGGATGAAGTAATAAGTTGCATTTTTAAGCATCCACGTTATGGAATTCATTCCATTCATCACACTTCAACATGGTCCAGAACAGGCAGGTGTCACCACCATCTATTATAAAACGAATGCATTTGGCCAATAAAAAAGGAATATTCAGGCATACGCACGCGAAAGGGCCGAATGCGTACAACAAAGAAAAAGATAAAAAAAAGGTTTGAGAAGTAGACTATCGTAATGTTACATGCTTGTGAATGCGTATAACAAAGAAAAAGATAAAAAAAGGTTTGAGGCGTAGACTATCGTAATGTTACATGCTTGTGATTCTTATTTAAAATAGGGGAAAACATATACATTAGAGTGGTTAAAGTTCTACTTTGAAGCATTTAAGCAAATCTTATGCCTAAATATCACATTATAATCCTCTGATGGCCATTATGTATTCGTCTGATTCTTGATTCTATTTTACAGATCAAGAAACAATTTGGCTCGTTCGACAAGTATCTGTGTTGGAGTTATTGAAAGGAGTCCAGATTAAGGCCCGCTTTCACCAATTGGGCCCATTATATTTATTTGTATATGGGCTGAAAGCCCAAATTTTTCTTCAGTCTATTCTTTCACTTTTATAGTTTTAGTCTTCTATTCTTGTAATAGAAAAAAGAAGGAATCATCTGATAATATCAATAAAGGTTTCTCTATTCTCTCAATCTCTTGTCGAACCCTAGAAGAACTTCATACATTTTGCTTCAATTTTTCGCAATCAACATGGTATCAGAGCGAGGGATAACATAGAGTGGGATTTGCTCTTTCCTCCGATGTTAACCCCATTCAATTTCACCGGAATTGTAATCTTCCGGCACAGTTCGTCTGTTCCGAAAAAAATCTAATTTTTTGGGCGTATTTTATGCGCAATCTCGTTAAGGATAATCATTTCGTGTTTCTTCCGGTGATTGTCTGTGAAATTTGGCGCTTTTACAAGTTTCTCGTGGACCTAGGTTTTTTTTTCTGTTGGTGAAGCTGGGTTTTCTGTTGGAGAAGCCGGTATTTTACTTCACGGATCTTTTCTTTGAAGGCAGTACCTCTCCGGTTGAGAGGAGGATCGGTACAATTATTTTCTGCTTCCTTTATGCATAGTGCCTTTCTACTGATTGTGATAAGTTTGATTTACTGCTGTTAATTCTTTCGTTAAATCATGACTATTACATCTACTACTCCGTCTTCAACTAATGGTGACAACTTAAACCAAACTGCTGCAAGTACACATCTTCCTTTTCATCCTGATGACTACACACACCCTTGCCATCCTTTATATGTCCATCCATCGGATTTGTTGGGATCTTCTCTAGTTACTGATCGTTTTGATGGTTCATCCTATAGAAGTTGGCATAGATTCATATTAGTTGCTTTATCTGTTAGGAACAAACTTGATTTCATCCATGGCACTTATGAAAAGCCACCTGAGGGTTCTCCTTTACTTCGTCAATGGAAACGATGCAATGATTTGGTTGTTGCATGGCTTGCTAATTCTGTCACTAGAGAGATTCACCAGACTGTTGTCTATTCTGAGTTTGCAAAAGATATCTGGAGGGAATTAGAAGCTAGATATGGGCAAGCTGATGGGGCTAGAGTCTTTGAGTTAAAAAAAGGAGTTGGCACATGTTTCACAAAGTGCACTAGATGTAGCCTCTTACTTCAACAAGATTAAGCACCTCTGGGATGAGTTGGCTTCAATCAATGCGAACTCCCCAAATAGATGTACTTGTGGTGGGAATGCTAAGTCTGAAGAAGAACAACGAGTGTATCAGTTTCTTATGGGTCTCAATGAAGTCTATGTCCAAGTCAGGAGTAACATTCTCATGATAAAGCCCCTTCCCTCCATGGATACTGTTTACAGTATTCTTCTCAGTGATGAGAAACAAAGACAAGTGTCTGCAACTTCTCAATTCTTTTCAGACTCTGCTTCCTTCCATGCTGGGGTTTCCAAACAGTCATACCCTGCCAAGGTAGCTTTTGATTCTCATAAATCTGTTGTCACCTGCAAATATTGCAAGAAAATTGGACATAGCATTGAGAAGTGTTTCAAGCTTCATGGCTTTCCACAAAATTTCAAGTTTACCAAGGGTGGTGGTCCTCGCAAGGCTGCAGCTAATGTGGCAGCTGATTCTTCTGGTTCACAATCATTGTCTTCTGGGTTAGACAGCTCTCCTGCTCAGGTTATTCCTTCTGAACATACTTCTGGGATTCCTGGGATCACTCAGCACCAGTATGTTCAACTGATGCAGCTTCTCCAACATTCCCATCTCAATCCTGATTCCTCTCACTCTCTGATGGCTTCTGCTCACTTTGCAGGTAGAGAAGCCACACACAGTGTTTTACTTAAACCCTGTTTGTTTTCACAAGTAGACAGTTCTGTTTGGATTATAGATTCTGGGGCTTCTGATCATATGACTTCTCAGAAGTCACTTCTTTTTAATATTCAACCTCTTTCTATTCCCTGTCTTGTCTCTTTGCCTAATGGTTATAAGGTTAAAGTCACCAATTGTGGTTCTTTAACTTTATTTCCTAACTTTACCTTGCATAATGTGCTTTATGTCCCTACCTTCCAATACAATCTCATATCTGTTTACCATCTGGTTTCACAGTTTGATGGCATAGCTCAATTTTCTAGCACTTTGTGTCATTTACAGGGCCCTTCACTGAAGAAGCCTCTGGTGCTTGGTAGATTGGACCATGGTTTATACAAACTGGAGATTCCTCCTCCTACTTCTTCTTCATGTGTTTCTAGTTCTTTAGTTGCTTATCCTGCTAGTTCCCTTTCTGATGTTAGTGGTTCTACTAGTAGTGTTAATAAGCATGAATCTGATGTTATCCCTTCCACTATTCCCCATTGTAATTCTGCTCATGCAAATTTGAATAAAATAGATGTGATTTGGCATTTTAGACTTGGTCACATTCCTTTTTCCAGAATGAAACACATACATGTTCTTAGTTCCTCTCTTTCTTCTAAACAATCCTTTCCATGTTCTATTTGCCCCTTAGCTAGACAAACCAGACTCCCTTTCCTTGACAGTACTACTCATTCTACAGCACCATTTCAACTCATTCACATTGATACCTGGGGACCCTACCATTCTCCCACTACTACTGGTGCAAGATACTTTCTAACTATTGTGGATGACTACTCTAGAGCTACTTGGACTCACCTTTTGGGGGCTAAAAGTAATGCTTTTGATATGCTCAAAAGTTTCATTGCTATGGTTGAGACTCATTTTAATACCACAATCAAAACTGTGAGGAGTGACAATGCCCTAGAGCTGGGATCTAGTTCTACTGGTTCCAAATTCTTTCAGACAAAGGTATTATTCATCAAACTTCCTGCCCCCACACACCTCAACAAAATGGTGTTGTGGAAAGGAAACATAGGCATCTCCTTGAAACTGCAAGGGCATTGCTTTTTCAATCTTCTTTACCTATTTCCTTTTGGGGTGATTGCATTCTTACTGCTACCTACCTAATAAATAGATTTCCTTCTTCCTTGTTACATAACAAGAGTCCTTTTGAGATACTGTATAGTAAGGCTCCCTCATATGCTCACCTTAGAACTTTTGGTTGCTTGTGTTATGCCACTGTTCCTAAATTTCATAGAGACAAATTTGAGCCAACGTCTGTTCCCTGTGTTTTCTTAGGTTATCCCTTTGCTAAGAAAGGCTACAAATTATATAACCTCACTTCTAAATCTTGTTTTGTCTCTAGAGATGTTGTCTTCCATAAGTATGTCTTTCCCTTTGCCCTTCCTCCTTCTTCTTCTTCTTCTCCTTCTCCACATGTATCTGCATTCTCCCCTCCTCATGTTCCTGATGATCTTGTTGCTCCCCCTACTTCATCTTTTTCTCCTGTTTCTCCTGTTTCTCCATCCCCTTCTGTTTCTCCTGTTCCTTCATCACCTTCTGTTTCTCCTCTTTCTTCTACTGATTTACCCATTGCCTCTTCTTCTTCTCCTGTTATACTTGTTGTCCCTCCTCCTTCTCTTGTTCCTGAGGTTTCTGTGAGGCAGTCTTCTAGACCTCACAATCCTCCGGGATATTTGAATGATTATGTTTGCACACTTCCTTCTTCATGCTCCACTTCTATTTCCAATATTGTTTCTACTAGTGTGCCTCCTGTGTTTGAACCCTATACTTTCTCTCAAGCTGCCTCCATTCCTGAAAGGCAAGAGACAATGAAGAATGAATTTGAGGCTCTTGAAGCTAACAGGACTTGGGTAGTTGTTGATTTGCCTTTGGGGAAGAAGCCTATAGGGTGCAAATGGGTCTAAGGTCAAATATAGAGCTGATGGAGCTATTGAAAGGTATAAGGCTCGGTTAGTGGTTAGGGGTGACACACAGGTAGAAGGGATTGACTTTCATGAGACATTTTCCCCAGTTGCGAAAATGTCCACTGTCAAGACTTTGGTTGCTGTTGCCATCAAGAAACATTGGCCTTTGTTTCAGCTTGATGTCAACAATGCTTTTCTGCATGGGGACCTTGATGAGGAGGTTTATATGAAGTTGCCTCCTGGTTATTCTGTTCCTCTCACTTCTAATTCTGGGCAGCTGGTTTGCAAGCTTCAGAAGTCTCTTTATGGTTTAAGACAGGCATCCAGACAGTGGTATGCCAAATTATCTCAATCCCTATCTTCTAGAGGCTATACATCTTCTCCGAATGATTACTCCCTCTTCACAAAGGGTTCTGGTGATTCTTTTGTTGTTTTAGCTGTGTATGTGGATGACATAATTTTGACTGGGACTGATTCTACTGAGATTTCAGCTTTAATATCCTTCCTTCATCAACAATTTTGGATCAAGGATCTGGGGTCTCTTAGCTATTTCTTGGGGATTGAGGTTCTATATTCTTCTACTGGGGTCCTTCTACATCAAAAAAAGTTCATTGCTGATATGTTGTCTGAGTTTCATTGTTCAGATGTTTCCTCTGTTTTGTGTCCTCTTGATATGAATGTGAAGCTTAAAGCCAATGAAGGTGATCCTTTGCTCAAGACTGAACTGTACAGATCTTTGATTGGTAAGCTGAATTTTTTAACTCACACGAGGCCTGACATCAGCTATGCAGTCCAACATCTCAGTCAATTTATGCAGTCTCCCTGCCTTCCCCACATGTCTGCTGGCTTGCTTCTCTTAAGGTACTTGAAGGGTACTTCTGAACATGGGATCTTCTTCAATGCCTCTCCAGACCTGTCTATTTCTGCCTTTTGTGACAGTGACTGGGCTGCCTGCCCTGACACTAGGCGTTCTGTCTCTGGTTATTGTGTCTTATTAGGTGGTAGCCTTGTGGTTTTGAAGTCCAAGAAGCAGCCCATTGTTAGCATGTCCTCTGCTGAAGCTAAGTATCGAGCCATGAGTAAAGGAGTGGCTGAGTTGACCTGGTTGTCTAGATTGCTTACTGACTTAGGCTTTCCTTGTTATTCCTCCATTCCTTTATTTTGTGACAGTCAAGCTGCGATACACATTGCTCGCAACCCAGTTTTCAATGAAAGAACCAAACATATAGAGTTGGATTGTCATCTGGTTCGGACCAAGCTGGCTGAGGGTTTGATTCATTTGGTCCACACTTCTTCTTCTACTCAGTTGGCTGACCTCTTCACTAATCCACTTCCAGGTGCTGCTCGTCATGGTTTTTTGCTCAAGTTGGGGGTCTTCCCACCCTCCAACTTGAAGGGGGTGTTGGAGTTATTGAAAGGAGTCCAGATTAAGGCCCACTTTCACCAATTGGGCCCATTATATTTATTTGTATATGGGCTGAAAGCCCAAATTCTTCTTCAGTCTATTCTTTCACTTTTATAGTTTTAGTCTTCTATTCTTGTAATAGAAAAAAAGAAGGAATCATCTGATAATATCAATAAAGGTTTCTCTATTCTCTCAATCTCTTGTCGAACCCTAGAAGAACTTCATACATTTTGCTTCAATTTTTCGCAATCAACAATCTGTGGGGATTTGTGAACAACAAGACTATCGCAAAACGTAAGAAAAACTCAGAGGAAGTAATTTACATTGAAAATTCAATGAGAAGAAAAGATCTTAGATATCAAGAGCATAGCAAACGGAATCTGGAGAGAAAAAAGAGAAGGGGAGGGAAAAAAGGAAAAGAGTGTAACTAAACCCCTTGATTGAAGGCACTAATAATGAATTTGGAGACTTTTAAGGTGGAATGTATATATTTTGTAAACAAAACTTGTTTAGGTCGGGTAATTAACTAAACATGGACATTTTTAGTAATAAAGTTTCCAATAGTTTATAGGTATATAAAAATCCCAAGAAAAAAAATGTAACACTTGAATTACAGGGTAAAAACCTATCAGGTGTTTTAACTAAAGCATATTATTATCATGATTAAATAATACATTAAGGGAAAAATGTGTATTAATTGTGTTTACCTCGAAAATACGAGTAACAATTAAACTTGATTTGTGGTTTTAAAGATATGTAATTTAGTTCTGTCACGACCCGAATTTCCCACCCTCGGGAGTCGTGATGGCGCCTGCTAATGTGAGCTAGGCAAGCCAATTTTTGAACAGATTACCTTTACCCATTTTTAAATTCATTAACAGTTATAATCCAAAAGTTAATAATCTACAAAATTTAACAAGCGGAAGACTTAAATTTCGAGTTTAATAATACTGCTAATACCATTCCATGACAAAACTACCCAAGATTGGTGTCACAACTTCACAGACTGTCTAAGAGTACTAAATACAATCGTTTGAAAGAAATATAACACTGTTTGTCTCGAAAACATGAGATAACAGAATGAAATATAAGATAGAGGAGACGCCGGGCCTGCGGACGCGTGCAAGGTTACCTCGGAGTCTCAATGGACTGAAGGCTGGCTCCCAAGCTACTGCTGTTGTCCGGGACCTGGATCTGTGGAAAAGAGCACAGAGTGTAGTATCAGCACAACCGACCCCATGTGCTGGTAAGTGCCTAGCCTAACCTCGGCGAAGTAGTGACGAGGCTAGGACCAGACTACCAAATAAACCTGTGCAGTTATATAATATACAACAGAAAGTAAAACAGGTATAAGCAAGTAAGGATGGGAGGGGGAAACATGCTCCGGGGAATAACAGGTAAAAACAGAATATCAAGAGAACTATAAAGGAGTCAAAATCCAACCACTAGCAAGAATAAGGAAAACAAAGGCAGATTTCACTTTCTTTTCACATCTTGTTGCAGGCGTGCAACCCGATCCCATTTCATGTCTCTCGTGGAAGGCGTGTCACCCGCTCCCATTTCATTATACCTCGTGGTAGGCGCACCACCCGCTCCCATTTCATTATATCTCGTGGTAGGCGTACCACCCGCTCCCATTTCATTATATCTCGTGGTAGGCGTACCACCCGCTCCCATTTCATATTGTTGCGGCGTGCAACCCGATCCATATATAATATTGTTGCGGCGTGAAACCCGATCCATATATTTTATTATTGCGGCGTGCAACCCGATCCATATATAATATTATTGCGGCGTGCAACCCGATCCATATATAATATTGTTGCGGCGTGCAACCCGTTCCATATATATAATATTTACAATTATAACGAGAGTCTCGACAAAGGATCAAAAGGTCTACACTATTCCGGCAAGGGAAAAAGAAATAGCTATAACCAAACTTGGTACAACACCTATCTACCTCAGCCATACCCAAACTTGTTACAACACCTAACTACCTCAGCTATACCCAAACTTGTTACAACACCTAACTACCTCAGCTATGCCCAAACCTGTTCCAACATCTAACTACCTCAGCTATAACCATAATCCTTACCTAACACAAAGAATCATCAATCTAAGTATCCGTAATATCAATTAAGAACACAATACAAGGGAACCACAACTCAACAATAGCCCGGTAAGGGGGCACATAATGATCTCTCCTCTTTATCACTTTTACTTCACAATTCAATTCCTCACTCGAGCCACTGCTCTAGAGGTTCAATGATCACTTATACTTTCACAATTCGTTATACAGCTGGAGCCAACTCTCCTCAATGTTCATAGGTCACAATTCTTTTCACAACTTTACACAACAAATAGAAATTTTCACTAAGGCATGAATAATACGACGAAATCATGGGAATCACAATATGAGACTCACGGTCATGCTCGACACCGACGTGTAGATACTCGTCACCATGCCTATACATCGTACTCAACAAGAAACAAATAGCAAATAGGACGCAACTCCTAATCCCTCAAGCTAAGGTTAGACCAAACACTTACCTCGATGCCTTGAACACAACTCAAGTGTCAATTATAGCTTTACCCCTTGATTCCACCACCAATCCTCTCGAATCAAGTCACAAGTTACTTAATTACATCAATAAGTGCTAAATGAATCAACCCCAATGCATGAAAATGAGTTTTCCAAAGTTTTACCCAAAAAGTCAAAAATCGCCCCCGGACCCACGTGGTCAAAACCCGAGGTTCGAACCAAAACCCGATTACCCATTCCCCCACGAACTCAAATATGTAATTTGTTTTAAAATCGGACCTCAAATCGAGGTCCAAATCCCCAATTTTTTGAAAAACCTAGGTTCTACCCAAAACACCCAATTTCCCCCATGAAAATCTTTGATTTTAGGTTGAAATCATGTTAAAAGATGTTAATGATTGAAAAAAAATGAGTAAAAACTAACTTACAATTGATTTGGAAGAAGACTTGTTCTTGGAAAATCACCTAAGTGTGTTTGGGTTTGAGAAAATATGAAAAATGAAGCTCAAAATCGTTTAAGTGTAAAAATTGCAGGTCTCAGTTATGGGAAATGCGAACAGGGTTCGCAATTGCGAACCCCGACCTCTGCAGATGTGGAAAATGCGAAACAGGGTTCGCATTTGTGAACCCTTCATAATTCCCCAGGATTCGCATTTGCGAAGGAGCTGTCGCAATTGCGACATCGCATTTGCGAAAGAAGGATCACATTTGCGATACATGCTGAACAAGGGAGGTTTCGCATTTGCAAAGGGGAAGCTCGCATTTGCGAGGAAAGGGTGGCCTGGGCTGGCTTCGCATTTGCGATCCAGCCTTCGCAATTGCGAACTCGCATTTGCGAGCCAGGCTTCGCAAATGCGAAGCCTGCAGGCCTGAACACACCAGCATTTTTTTTTAATTTCAAAAAGCACCCCGTGGCCTATCCAAAACTCACCCGAGCCCTCGGGGCTCTAAACAAAATATACACACAACCTCAAAAACATCCTACGAACTTACTTGTGCGATCAAATCGCCAAAATAACATCATAAACATCGAATTAAACCTCAAAATCCAAG